TCACCTTATTAAGTTGCCGATAATCAATGCAAAGTCTTAATGACCCATCCTTTTTCTTCACAAAAAGTACTAGTGCTCCCCAAGGAGATGTGCTAGGTCAGATGAGTCCCTTATCTAACAGTTCTTGCAATTGAGTCTTCAGTTCTCTCAGCTCAGAAGGTGCCATTCTGTAAGGTGGAATAGAAATCGGTTGAGTGTTTGGAACCAAATCAATGGCGAATTTGATCTCCCAATTAGGTGGCAGTCCGGGTAATTCTTCTGGAAATACATAAGGAAATTCTCAAAAATAGGGATTTGATCTAAACTAACGATGGATTTATCAATGTCTCTTACCACCGCTAAAAACCCTTGACAACCCTTCTATAGTAATCGTTGGGCTTTTAAAGTTGAAATAAAATTAGTAGGTCTTTCTATAAAACTTCCTTGCAATGCAAAAGGGATTTCACCTGGAATATCAAATTTCGCTACTTCCAAGTGGCAGTCAATGGTAGCATAGCAGGAAGCTAACCACTCCATACCCAAAATGACATCAAAATCAATCATATCAAGCATCATCAAATCAATAAGGGTTTCTCTACCTGTAATAGACACTTCACAAGACTTATACACATAAGAAACAATTAAAGATTCCCTTACTGTGGTACCAACTACAAATGAATTATCAAGTTCAGTAGGTTCTTTGCCCAATCTCTTAGCAAAATAAGCAGACACATATGAATGAGTTGATCCAGGATCAAATAATGCATAAGCTTGATTAGAACACACAATTATAATACCTGTAACAACTGGATTTGAAGCTTTAGCATCCTGTCTTATCATAGCATAAACTCTCACCTGTCTCTGTCCTGAAGAAGACTACCCCCTTCTAGACCTACCCCTGCTAGCTAAAGTAGAAGCAACTCTAGTAGGTGGGATTGACAAGTAGGGTGAGGAGAAGGTTCAATTGATCCATGGCTGGACACAGACTACAGATATAGACAATTTCTTCTCAAATGGCCCATCTGCCCACACTCAAAACATGCACCAAACACTTTAGAACATAGTCCTGAATGATATTTCCCACAACTATTACAAGGAACTCTAACATAACCCAATTGATTCGGAACTAATTGGGCTCAAGGTCTCACATTACCAGAATTTGCTTTCACGATGGAAGTGCTCACTGATGGTGAATCAAATGATCTAGGCTTAGACTGTGAGGCACGAAAGTGAGATTGACTTGAAAATTGATGACTCTTGGAAGAAGAACAGGGAAATTTCTCATTGTGCTCCCTCTTGCGTTTCTTAAAAATTGCTTCCTCTGCCTTATGTCGATTCTTGATTCTCAATACGCTATCAATAATCTCAGCATAGGTGATGTCACGACTCAACATAGGCGCTATGTTGTCATGTATGTCGACCGGGAATCCCTGTACAAACTTGCTAATCCGTTCCTTTTCAATCGGTATAATATGAGAAGAAAAAGAAGATAATTCAGTAAACTTCTGATTATATTCTGCTATAGACATTCCTTTACTATACTTTAAAGTTAGAAACTCTTCAACTTTTGCATCTCTAGTACTTTGAGGCAAATATCAATTCAGAAATGTAGTCTTGAATTCTTCCCAAGTCAAAGAAGGTACTCTAGTCACATGCAAACCTGGGACTGTTTTTGCCTAAGTACTTACTACTCCTTGAAGTTGGAACACTGTAAATTTAACATACTAAACATCAGGGCATCTTAAGGCCCTACATCTTTCTCAATTCCTTCGAGAAACTCAATTGGGTCCTCCTGTGCATTGGTTCCTGAAAAAGATGGTGGATTTAGCTTTATAAACTTCGATAACTTAACTACAAGATTTTCCTCTGGGGTATCATTTATTGAAGGGATTGTCTGTTCTTCAGATTGAGAACTTACTCGATCACTTCTAGAAGGAATATCTTGAAAGGGCCTAAGGGTTCAGCCACCCCTAGCCCTAATCCTACTTTGACGTCGTCCTCTACCTCTTAAAGGCACATCATCTGTCAGAGAAATTCTACCAAAGGCCCTACTACTAGTGGAGCTCCTGGTAGATACTCAACGTCTGGGTGGCATATTTCACTATATACAAAAACAAAAGAAATATTTAACTTAAAATATAATTTTATATAGCAAAAGTCAATAACAAAAAACAAACAACATTCAAAAACATCCTATAGAACTCTTAATGATGCCTCAATTATAATTATACCCGAGTTCATAATGATAATTGAGACCTCACTAAAAAATTTTGCTCTACATAGCTATTTATAAAAACCCTAACTTTGATACCAAGCTACCACACCCCAAAAATAGAGGGTGACCGGCACGAGTGTGAACCACTCACACATTCTCGTATGCCTCAGAACAAAAATTTACCCCATTTTTTCAAAAGAAAAGAAAGAAAATTTATTAAATTACATGAGAATTAAATAATTCCTTTAAACTCATTATCATAAGAAAGTGTCGACATTTTTGTAGAAATTTTTGCAGAACCTCCCCTGTAACTAGAATCTCCTAAAAATTCTACAACAAATTTTTACAGATAACAGTATAAATCAGGAGCGTAGCTCCTTCCAGCCAGCAACCAATATACAGATCAAAAATAAGGTTTATCAATAACCTATGTGGAGCATCTACTCTTTCTTTCAAATCAAAAAGACAAACAAATTATATATTTACATTAAAGCAACAATACCAATCAAAATGTCCACCCGCTATAGTTAGTTTCCCTTTAGAGGTCAATAGTGGGATCAATGTCAGGTAACAAATCTAAGACCAAAATAATTTTCCAATAAATAGCATTCCCATCGTAAAATTCTTAAAATTTTAATCAACAATCTCTAACAATGGTGTCAGCTAGTTAAAAGTAATTCTATCAAAATTTATAAACATGTAAGTCATAACCATATTTATAAAATAAGAGTAAATTGAAAACAATTTATGTTAACATGCTTAACTCAAAGTGGTACAAATTACTAGTCAAAATCATGTAAATTTTGAAAACACATATTAATTAACATTTAAAATCTCAAGAAATTAATAGAACAGGCTAGGTTACAAACATGGACATGCAGTCCACAAGGATAAATAACCAAACGTAGCTTGTGTCACGAAAACAAATGTGGACACACCAGTCCACGAGGGTAAGTAACCAAATATAACCGAAGCTACGAAACAAATGTGGACACATAGTCCACGAGGGTAAATAACTAAACGCAACATAGGTCACAAAATCAAACGCGGGTACAAAGCCCACGAATACCAAACGTGAGAATAAAGCTCACGAAACAAACTAGCTAGTGTTTAACCACGACGCTACAGGCTAACGGAACTACCGTTAGTAGCAGTGTTTTGTTTTGAGTTCTCTTTAAATCACGTTTCAAACATGTGAGAAAAATAATTATCATTGAAATAAATTATCATTCTTACTGCCAAGCTCACATGAATTGTTTAAAAATAAAAATGTATTCAATGGATACTATTCACTTACTTGTCGGAGTTTTAAATTTCCAAAGATATTCTTCTCTTAATCCTTGTCAGGTTCCTGTTCTCCCACACACCCTATAAAAATATATATAAAAATCAAATAAAATTTTTGTAGATTTTTTATATTTAGTACAAATTTTAATTTAACCATCATCATTTAGAATTCAAAGACAAATTTATGATTTAAAATCAGTCTAAATATTATCACTCATTCTTATGACTTCCATTTAATTTAAAACACTCCCATCTACATAGGCACGTGTAGTCACAAGGAAGAATGAATTTTTGAAATTTTAACCCTTAACCCACATTTACCATATAGTATCACTAAGTTCGGATGGATTGCTAACTTAAATTTTAGCCTTCTCCTCTCTACATAATAGTATAAGCAACAACAGAAAATATGATTGCCATGACTACACATATCAAGTAATAACAACAGCGTACACCCACTAACTTTCCGCATTTTCATGTCCACACACAATACTCATATTTTGATCTCTTCACCTCACGCACATAGTAGATTAACAATGATAAAGTTCAACACTTTTCACCTCAACTTGACTGGCTAAATGGCGGTGAACAGATAGAGAGGAGAAAAGGAGGCTCTTGAACACAAAAAGGTGAAGAGGAAGAACTGAATACAGCTAGCAACCGAGAAGAGAAACTAAATCAGCAACAACTAGCCAAACTCACGACAATACCTCTAGTAGTAACTTGAACACAACAGCACCTCAGAAGCATGGACACGCCAAAATGGCCGGCGTGTCTGTGTCGGGTACGTATCCGACATGGACACGCGTTCAGGATGGGGAAACGGCACGTCCTTTTTCCTAGTTTTCGACGGATGCGGTCGAGACGGGTTAACACGGGTAGACTCGGGTCGGACGTGGGCGGATGCGAAACTCTGCGTTTTTCACTTCTTTTTACTCAGTCCTAGCTCCAAAATCTGATGCCCTAACATTTTTAGCTCCAATCGACCCCCTTCTCGTGTTTTCTACTGTAGCTTCACTGCTTGTGTTGGTCATTCTTGTTCTTCATCTCTCACGTTTATTCACAGTTCACGCTACGTCGCTGCCTCACCGTCTGCTCTACCTTAGTCTTTATATACGTCCGTCTGCTTTGCCTTAACGTCTTTGACCGTCTGCTCTACCTCTGCCTCACCGTCATTCTTCAGCTTTAATCTTGGTAATTTATTTAGTTCTTCATGTATGGTCGTTCTTCAATACACTGCCTCTCATTCTTTATGTATCTATTGGATTTAGCTGCTGATTTCAGATTTTTGCCTCTTGTTGTGCTGTTGCTGGATATTTTTTAATTATTATTATTGCATTATTGATAATTTGCTCACTGCTGAACCGAGAGAGGTAGTCAACCAGAGCAATTGAATTACTATTTTAATTTGTTTTATTTAGATGGATTATTTTGTTGAGTTAAACATTGATTTATTTTAAATTTTTATTAGCTCTCTTCTTGTTAAAATTGTAGAATATTGTTTAAAATTAAACCTACAATGGCTTTTAATTCTAGACCAGGTAGTAGTTTAGAAAGTGTGAATTCTCAATTTCAATCTAGTAATGAAAGACAAAAAGAGAGTACTCCTTTATGGGCTTATGTAACTTTGGTTCCTCAAGAAAATGAAGGGGATGGTGGAAATAAAAGTTGGAAGTGTAACTATTGTAATAACCAATATAATGGCTCTTATTCTAGAGTTAAATTTCATTTGTTGAGGATCTCTGGAAAGGGTATTGCTATATGCTCAAAAGTTGATGATAGTTGTTTAGGTGAAATGCGAAAAGCTCAAGAGGAGGCTGAGAATAGAATAAAACCAAGACATGTGCCATTGCCAACTCCAACTGAGAGCTTGTCTCCTTTATGTCAAAAGGGTTCTACCCCTATTCAAAGTGAACATAATCATGGAAAAAGGAGGGCAATAAATACAATAGAAAGAGCTTTCCATCAAGGAGCTAGAGATAATTTAACTGCTGAAATTGCTAGAATGTTCTATTCGGCTGGCTTGTCTTTCAATTTGGCACATAACCCATATTTTATTAGTGCATTTCAATATGCTACCAACAATATAATTCCTGGTTTTAAACCTCCTGGTTATAATGCACTAAGGTCTACTTTGTTGCAAAAAGGAAGGGCCAATGTTAAAAAGGAACTTAAATCAATCAAAGGGACTTAGAATCATAAGGGGGTAAGTATAGTTACGGATGGTTGGACAGATATACAAAGAAGGCCATTAATTAATTTTATGGCTATAAGTGATGAAAGCCCTATGTTTTTGAAGGCAATTGATGCAACTAGTAAGTATAAAGATAGATTTTACATGGCTGACTTGATAAAGAAAGTGGTTGAAGAAGTGGGGCCTCATAAAGTTGTTCAAGTAATTACTGATAATGCACCTGTTTGTAAATCTGCTGGTAAGATGGTGGAAGATGAATATCCTCACATCTTTTGGACACTATGTGTGGTGCATACACTTAATCTTGCCTTGAAGAATATATGTGCAGTAAAAAATACAGAGGTAAGTGAAATTATTTATGGAGAATGCCGTTGGATCACTGAGATAAGGGATGATGCAGTCTTTATCCGAACATTTATCATGAATCATTCTATGAGATTGGCCATGTTTAATGAATTCGTGCCATTAAAATTGCTTGCAATAGCCGAAACAAGATTTGCATCAACAATTGTGATGTTGAAGAGATTCAAACTTATCAAAACTTCTCTTCATACACTGGTTATTAGTGAAGAATGGAATGCTTATAGAGATGATGACATTGGAAATGCTGCTACTATGAAGGACATAATTCTTAATGATCTTTGGTGGGAGAAGGTTGATTATATTCTCTTTTTCACTAAGCCAATTTATGATATGTTGAGATTTGCTGACACAGATAGACCCACACTTCATTTGATTTATGAGATGTGGGATTTAATGATAGAGCAAATCAAGGAATCAATTTATAAACATGAGTGAAAATCACTTTCTAAGTACTCTTCATTTTACGAAGTTGTTTATAATATCATTATTGATCGATGGACAAAAAGTGCCACTCCACTACATTATCTTGCCTACTTACTGAATCCTAGGTGTGTTATTCTTATTTTTTATCATGAAATTCTTTTCTTTATTATTTTTTGCATCACAACTCCAATTAATGTGATTATATTATTGTAGGTATTATACAACACAATGGCTTGAAGGTGGACTAAATAGAGTCTCTCCACATAGAGATGCTGAAATATCAACTGAGAGGAAAAAGTGCATTAGAAGGATCTTTCTAGATGAAGAAGAGAGGAAATTAGTTATGAATGAATTTTTAAAATTTTCTGGATGTTCAGATGAGTTCTCTTTTATTGATTCCATATAAGATAGATGGATATTAGAGCCTAAGGTTTGGTGGAGCAATCATGGTACTGATGCTCCTAAACTTCAAGGGACTGCATTGAAACTTCTCAATCAACCATGCTCATCATCTTGTTGTGAAAGAAATTGGAGCACTTACTCTTTTGTTCATTCACTAAAGAGAAACAAGATGCTTCCAAAAAGAGTAGAGAACTTAATTTTTGTTCATTCAATTCTTCGTCTTCTTTCAAGAAAGAGTGAGAAGTATTCCACTGGAGAAAGTAGATTGTGAGATATTAATAGAGATTGTTGGGAAATAGATGATATTGAAAATCTTAAAGTTACAAGTTTATCTCTAGATGAGCTAATTTTGGAGAGAGAACTTATAGAAGAAAGTGGTGGTGTCAATGAAGATGGGGAAGTTTAGAATTACTTTAAGTTGATAATTATCTTTTGCCACTTGATAGTGTTTAAGTGCTTGACTATTTATCGTATTATATTTTGTGATGGCATTAGACATCTTGAAATTGTGTTTTTAGACATCCAAATATTTAATATTTAATTATTTATATAGCCGTACCCGTATCCTAAAATTTTAAAAAATAGCCGTGTCCGCGTATCGTATCGTATCGTACCCACACTCGTACCCGTATCGGTGCTTCTTAGGACAACACAGTTAAAGTAGAAGACAAAGGAAAATAAAACAAAGACAAGGAACACGAAAGACAACCAGAGCAATTCAAGGTAGCATAAGTCTCTAACTCCCTCCGACAATAACCACTAGTGATAGTAAAAGAGAGAGAAGATCTAAACGCTCACACTTGCACCTGGATAAAGAAGGGAGAAGAAGCTTGATAATCTGAATAAAGAAAAAAAATAGAGTGCAAAGGTCACGAGTTGACTAACCAACAACAAATGGAGTAGGAGCAAGCATACTGGCGATATTAGCAGCTGAAACTGAAAAGAAAACAGCAAGGATTCAGAGGAGGAAGAAGAAGAAGGTTCAGCACGCTCTTAAGCACCAAGAACGGAGGAGGGAGCAAGTTGCAATTCAAGGTCCACATGCACACCAACAACGTCACGGCAGGAAGGAAAGAAGGAAGCCACATACTCACACCCAATCAACTGGCAACAGTGGATAGAACCTCTGTAATCACTAAGATCCAATGACTGTTGGAGACGAAGGAAATGAAATTTATGAACCTAAGATCCCTCTTGCTCTCTCTCCATCGACTCTCTCTCTCTCTTCTCTCTCTTTGCTCCAGAATCCTCGCCGAAGAATGAAGGAAGAGTTCAGGAAAAAAAAAAGAAGAATTTCTATAGGCTCACTACGGTATGAACTTGGGACCAAATGAAAGTAATCTAGCCCAACTACCACTACATCAACTTCCTCCTTGTCATAATTGTCTAAAGATTTAATATAAACACATGTAAATAAATTATCTCATATATATATATATATATTAATTTATTTTATAAGGGTTATCACAATGCACCTAGCTTCATCAAGAATAATAATATCATTTCTATTAGCTCTTTAATATCATTTCAATCCCCCACACTAGCAGTGAAATTTCAACATTTTAGGGAGCTTTGACTAAAATTAAGTTAGGTTAAGGAGTTGTCATTGAAATTTTCCCTTTTCACTATTGACCAAGTTTCTTTTTCATTTCCACTGAATAACTATTCTCTTCGGTTCCTATTATAACATACCTCTAACTACCTCATTGAAATCAAGAAGAAGTGATTAAATTATTAACTTTGTATAAAAATATAATAAAATTTCAATCTTAAACCTATTTAAATGATATTTTTTAAAATTTATATAATATTCTCTATCATAGGTAATGAATTTAAATGGGGTAATATTAGAAAAATATTATTAAGACCCTGTAAAGTACCTTATATTAAGAATCAAATAATCTTTTTAGATGGTATCCTATAATAGATTTGAAGGGAGTATAGTTAGTGCAACTAATAAATTAATTTAGCACATAATTTAATAAGAAATAATATAGTTAATATGCCACAATTCCTTGTTATTTCCGATAGATGCTCTCAATTTATTTTAGTAATTATCGGAACCTTGACTCTAAAGACTTAATAAAAAATAATAGTATAGACCAATGAAGTTGGGTTTAATGGAATAAACTAATCTCTCGTAACACGAAAAATTAAAGTAAGAATTTTCAGAGAGATGTGTTCACATTTGATGACCCCACTATATCTTGAACATGATAATTTTTAAATGCAATAAAAAAATACAGTTGAATCCATGTTTTCCTGACACTTTGATGCGGGTGGAGCTCACACCCGAGTTTACTGAATAATTTTTTTTTTTGGCCAATGAAACGTATTATTGTTTATTTTAATCAAGGATATTATTTTCTCTCTCGCTGGGTCACTGCTACTGCAGCCATATGACTTCTCCTACTTCTACTCCATTATTCAATATTAGAGAAACCACCATATTTATAAAAAGTTATAAAATTCAAGAAACATTTATCATATTTTTAAATTATTTTTTATAAAATTAACGTTTATTTTCACTGGACAAATTTATTTCTTTAATTATAGGAATAATTTTGTCCAAATTATTTAATTTTAGATATAATTATTATACTTAACTAACTTTTTTAATTTGAATTAATTATTTTCTCTTATATGTAAAAATGGGAGAGTTCTGCTTCCGGGGTCCTATTATAAAATACCTTCAACTACTTTAATGAAACCAAAGAGAGGTAATTAATTTATTACCTTTATCTAAAAAATAAAATAAACTTCTAGTTTTTACCCCCTATTTAAATAATTTTTTTATATTTATATTACATTCTCTCTTATAATTAATGATTTTAAATAAAATAATATTAAAATATAATTAATATCACATAGTGTTCTTTATATTGAGAATTAAAAAATACTTTTAAAAATTGTCCTATAATGAAGAGTGAATATGAAAAAAATACGTGTGGTTTATGATTTGCTTGGAAGAATGTGCAATCAAAAACTATTGTTCTGTTGGATGTAGAAGAAAATTAATTTCACACATCATTATGTTTAATTGTCTTAGTCCAAGTTAGCAGAGAAATGCAGTCAAACAGAGGCTATGCCTAGAAAATGCGAACCTCTACTTTGTTTTGATACTAGTGGAGATGTTTTCCACAATATTTAATCTGGTTGTATTTTTATTTTCTAGCTCATGCTAGCTTTTTTCTGAATAACGAAAAAAAATTAGTGGAAATTAATGGTATACCCCCTTTAATACTATTTATAAGGTACATTCTAGAAGGCCTATTTAATATCATTTATAAGTCACAATATAACTTTTTAAATAATATTTAAAAAATATTTCTAAAATTATCTTTCATGAGAGAAAGGAAGTAACATGATATCATTTTTTAAATATGTTATATAGGCACATATTTAAATTTTTATACACTCTTATTTTTTTACTTTTTTGTATTGGTATTAATGAGATTGGTAGAAATAACTTATAAAAAAATCAGAGGAGTAAGTTTTAATCACCGAGGGGAGATTTGTCCATTAGTGGAGAAATTCTCTTCTTTCCCTTCCCTTTCCCCTCCTTTGGTTCTCTTTTTGCATGAATTTCTTTTCTTTCTTTCTTTTTTGTAATAGAAATGAAGCAGAGAATCCTAAACAAAGTAAGATTACATCAAATTAGGATCAAGAGAGGACTTCCTCTCTTCATCCACCACCTTAACACAGTATGGAAGGGTTGATCAAAAATAGTTCAAGCACCTAATAGGTGATCTTGGGCATAATTAGCTAATAAGTGGGCATAAAACTAATAGTCACATATGAATCTCTACATAACAACATATTTATCTCATTAATAATATCATGAAATGGATGCTGAATATTGTTGCTATGATTGATGAGATTGAGAGCCTCTGCATAGTTCATGAATACTCTATCTTTCCTGTGCCCCTTGTTCCAACAAAGATGAAGACCAAAATGTCACACCCCAATACTAGGTATATGATCAATATAAAATATGAGGTGAACTCATATTTCATAAGTCTTGGTCAGCCAAAGGGTGAGCTAAAACACCTATATATAAGTTACACACACACACACACATATGTATAATAATATATATAGATAATAATAATAAAGTTAAAAAAAATTTAAATGTTTATAGAAATTTTGATAGTTTCCCTTGTAACTTCAAACACTGTTCAACTATTATTTTTCATTGTTTAAAATTTTTATCATTTTCTCCATATATGAATCATTGTATTGAAAATTTTTATATCTATATGGAATTAAGTAATTAAACTACTTTTGAGAAATAATCTCATTTATCATATATCCATTTCAATCTTTACTTATCAATAATATAAATTATCAGTAAAATTGACATATTTTCGTTAATGAAACAATTATTAGAAAATAGGATTAACAAGAATATTTTGTACAATTTATAAGGGAATAGAAGTAAAATTTGAATAAGGAGATTTTATAAACACTTTATTATAAATTGATTCAGAATGCTACCCACTCACCTGACCTCTCAAAAATCTTATAGTTAGACTTTCTCAATTTCTTGTTTACTCTAATGATGCACCAAATTAATCTAGCATACAAATTAATACATTTTATATCATTAT